TTTATATGAAATATTTAGAAATTGAAGTGCAAATTACATTTAGATAACAGCAATTGAGGTTTAGCAGAATAACAGAGGGTAAAAAATAGTTAAAATCAAAGTCATTAAAGTGAAAAAAAATCAAAACATAAAAAAATACACATGCACGTACACATACAATTTTCAGTTGAATATCTTAAAATTTTTGTTCCATGTACCACAAAACATGTTTCTTCTATCAATAATTATGATTGATATGGGAGTCCTAGTGTGGCTTTATAGGATAAGCACTGAACTGCTAACCACAAGGTCAGTGGTTCAATCCCACCTGTTGCTCCTTGGAAACCCTATACATGGTTGCTATTAGTTGGAACTAACTCAACAGCATTTAACAACAACTATGGATATTAGTGATGGTGGTGGTTATGTGCCATGGAGTCGGTTCCGACACACAGTGACCTGTACAGGGTTTCCAAGACTGTAACTCATTACCAGAATGGAAAGCCTTATTTTTCTCCCATGGAACAGCCGCTAGTTTCGAACTACTGACCTTGAGTTTAACAGCTCAATTTATAACCACTACACTGGTAGAGTTCCTTAACTGTTGTTGTTGTTGTTGTTGTTGTTGTTAAGTGCCATCAAGTTGTTTCTGACTCATAGTGACCCTGCATAGGGTTTCCAAGGTGCAGCTGGTGAACTTGAACCACTGATCTTGCAGTTCCAACCAACCTTGCAGTCCTATGCATTAACCCACAGTGCCACTAGAGAAACAGATCCCTGTAAAATTTACTACAGTATATAGCAAGAGGAGGCTTTCTGATTCTATAAAGATTTTTAGCCTGGGAAGCCCTACATTGGATTTCTATAAGTTGGAATTGACTCAGTGGCACTGGGTTGAGACAATATATGACATGGTCCTATTGGTGCAACCATTTGAAGAGGCGCCATGTGATTGACAACTGAAAGTACTGAAAGAAGTCCAAGCTGTACTGAAGTCCCTGGTAAAAAACAAAACTCCAGAAATGGACAGAATATAAGCTGAAATCTTTCAACAAACTGATACAGCAGTGGAAACACTTATTCATTTATGCCAAGAAATTTGGAAGACAGCTACCTGGCCAACGATAGAAAGAGATTCGTATCTGTGCCCATTCCACAGAAAGATGACCCAACAGAATGTGGAAATCATCAAACAATATCATTAATATCTCATACAAGTAAAATTTTTCTGAAGATAATTAAAAATGGTTATAGAAGTTGTTATTGCTGACATCTGATAGATTTTGGCTGGAAGAAGAAAATACTAGAAAGATGTTTACTTGTGGTTTATTGATTATACAAGGCATTTGACTATGTAGATTACAACAAACTACGAGTAGCATCTCAGTGACTAGGTATTCTGGTACACTATCTGTTCTCATGAGAAAATTATACATAGATCAAGACGCAGTCATTTAAACAGAATAAGGTGGTACTTAGTGTGAAGTACCATCAAGTCATTTGACTTATAGCAACCCTGTATAGGGTTTCTGAGGACCCCAAGAGTATGCTAAATGGTTTAAAATTAGGAAAGGTGTGTTGATACGGTTGTATACTTTCATCATACTTATTCAATCTATACTCTGAGCAAATGATCAGAGAAACTGAGTTATATGAAGAGCATGGCATCAGGATTGGAGGAAGACTAATTAATAAACTGTGATATGCAGAAGATACAACCTTGCTTGCTGCAAGGAGAGAGGACTTGAAATATTTGCTGATGAAGGTCAAAGACTATAGCCTTCAGTAGGGATTAAACCTCAATGCAAAGGAAACAAAACCCACCACAACTGGACCATTAAATAACAGCTTGTTAAATGGAACAAAACGATTGAAGTTGTCAAAGACTTCATTTTGCTTGGATCCACAATCAGTGTTCATGAATCAGCAGTCAAGAAATCAAAAGATGTATTGCTGTAGGCAAATCTAATATAAAAAACCTTTTTAAAGTGTTAAAAAGCAGATTTCAGTTTGAGGACAAAGGTGAACCTGACCTAAGCCATGATAATTTCAAATACCTTATATGCATGTGAAAGTTGGACAATGAATAAGAAAGATCATAGAATTGATGCCTTCTAATTATGATGTTAGAAAAGAATATTAAAAGCACCATGGACTGCCAGAAGAACAAACAAATCTGTTTTAGAAGAAGTACAGCCAGAATGTTCCTTAGAAGTGAGAATGGACATGTTGTCAGGAAGGCTAAGTTCCTGGAGAAAGACATCATGCTTCATAAAGTAGAGGGTCAATTATAAAGAGGAACACCCCCACAAGATGAATTGACACAATGGCAGCAACAGTGGAATCTAACATAACATTTGTGAGGACGGTACAAAACCAAGAATTGTTTAAATGTGTTGTGCACACGGTTGCTCCAACGCAGAATCAACTGAAGGGCACCTAACAACAAAGTTGGTGGTCCAAACCCACCTGCTGCTGGGTAAATAATGTATTACAGTAGAATAAATATTCTATTGTTTAGTGTCATCGAATCATTCCACCTCAAGGAGCAGCTAGTAGGTTTGAACTGCCAACTTTGTGGTTAGAAGTCCCATGCTTATCCTACAGCTAGGAGTGATCCATTACTCCTATCATAAGGTAGTATAAAAAGGAATACATTTGTAAGTATGAACCCAAATCCTGAAGTGTCATTGGCTGACTTCCAACGTATGTGATCTGGTGCTGGAAATAACAAAATAGATTAATTAATTAATAACAGGATATGTATTTTTCATAATTGTTTAAATTATTTAAATAACTGTTTTCTCTTTAGTCCAAGCAGTAAATTTTAAAAATATGAACTGAAATTACTTTGTTTCAATATTAAAAGCACATATTTTAATAGAAATAATTTTGTAAAGAATGCTGAAGTTCCCGGGTTAAATCACAAGTCCTATTAAATCCAGAATGAATTTAGCTACATGAAACTAATAGGACAAAAGAAAAGAAAAGAAACCTAGGAGGGAAGCCTTTTTGATAAATGGCTATCTTTAGTGATTTTGAAATAACCACACAGTTCTTGGTTACTACAAAATAATGACTGTAAACTATTCTTCCACATCACTCTCTACTTCTCATCTGGGTTTGATGATGCATTGTAGTGGTCACACAGAACTCAGACACCACAATCACAGTTAGGAAGTTTATTGGAGAAGTTGACAGGTTAACAATGTTCAGGTACATTTCTTCCAGTCAGGACAACCTCTCCTCAAACATGCCCACAAGCAGGCCTCTCTCTGCCTGGCCAATGTTACAAAACTCTTTTACAGCTGCTGATGGATGTCCACTGAACCCAACACTTCTCCATGAGCCTCATCCTAACGGCACTCGGCGCTAGCTCTGTGGGGTCAGTAAACCTAGCAACCCCCACCCAGTTAAGTGTCTGGAGGCAGTCCACTCTGCAAGCAAGCCTCCTCCCCAAAGTCATTCAACTTGACTCGCTCTGTGGGCTGGTTTCTGGTTCTGCTGCTGTTGCTGCTCCCCTGCCTCTTTTCCAGGGTGCCAGTTTTTTGTTCCTGGCTTGAGGAGATTTAATGTACAGGGATCTCTGGATCTGAAGAACACACGTTACTCCTGGCCCTTCAGTGAGATTTCTCCCTCCTGCTTCTGAGATGGCTCCTTTTATACCCACATTAGAGGTCTAACTTTCCACATTTAACCCTGTTAACAATTACTAACAACTGAATCATATAATCCATCAGTATCTTTCCCCACTTTCTCCTATGCAGACCCACCAGGAAAAAAATCATTTGGTGGGAGTTTACTAAGACTGTGGCTAGAAGAGATATTAAACAATTAATTGTACCTGTTACCATTACTTTTTGCTGCGTCTTCTAATTTCAGTACCCATTTGGTTTTCAAACCATTACTATCATAACCTTGATCATGAGATATGAAAAATTAATAGGAAAATCTGGTGCCATAAAATAAGCACTCGACCTCAAGGTAGGTTTAAACCACAAGATTGGCAGTTCAAACTCACCAGCCACTCCTCAGAAACCCCATGCTGGGTGGCTAGGAGTCAGAACCGACTCAATGGCCCTTAACAACAACAAGGTATCTATTAGGATTTGACTTGACTGCATATAACAGAATAATAATGGTGGTATAAGCAACACAGATGTTTATATATATAGTTCAGAGCTAGTCAGCTAGTCATGTTTATCAGAACCCCGACACCAATTTTTTCTCTCATAAACCACAGAATATTCTTCTGTTCCTAAAATAACATTACAATCCTAGATAAATACTAGAGCTTCAGCCACCATGGTTATATTCTAGACTGCATAAGGAGAAAGCAGAGAATAACCACAAAATAATCAAAGGGATATATATTTTTTTAAAACGAATGCAAATCAATTAATGTAATTTCTCTAATCCACACGCATTCCTCCAATAACTTCCTATTGACCTAAAGCTAAACACTAGACCTCTATTGGGACACCTTGCCTTTGAGATCCACTCCTCCTACTCTCCAGCCCCATTTTACACCACTCATCACTTTATTGTACACTGGCCTCGTTTCATGGATACTCCCAATATCTGTAGACCCTTCCTTACAGTTAACCTCTCTTTTCCAAACCTACCAAACCCTCAGACTGAACAAAATCAACACTTTCATTTTGCTCATTCGTGTTTAAGGAAGTCTTTGCTACTCCCCAAAACTGAGTTTAAAGTTCATGCTGTACTTCTTCTTGATCCTTATCATAGTTTGAAGTATTATTTTAAAGTTCCTTCCCTCTAATTATCTTTTATACAAACAGAGAACATCATCATTTTGTTTTCTGAACCTAGAACTGCTCCTATCAATGTACTCAATAAATATAAAGATTTCTGAATGTGTAGTATGCAATACTCAGATTAGAAGGGTAGATGGGAGACAAACCGCAACAAGCTGTTGCTTGTTGCTTGTATCTTAGGGATATGTGACCCTAATAAACATCTCTTCCTTCTTTTTCACTATGTGTCTGTCTTCTCTGCAGGTTGTGATTTGATCCCTGTACAGTATCTTCGCTGGGGTGACCCTGAGCCCATTGCAGCTGTGGTGTTTGCCTGCCTCGGCCTACTGGCTACCCTGTTTGTTACTGCAGTCTTCATCATTTACCGTGACACACCAGTAGTCAAGTCCTCCAGCAGGGAGCTCTGCTACATTATCCTTGCTGGCATCTGCCTGGGTTACCTATGTACCTTCTGTCTCATCGCAAAGCCCAAACAGATTTATTGCTACCTTCAGCGAATTGGCATCGGCCTCTCCCCTGCTATGAGCTACTCAGCCCTTGTAACCAAAACCAACCGTATTGCAAGGATCCTGGCTGGCAGCAAGAAGAAGATCTGTACCAAAAAGCCCAGATTCATGAGTGCCTGTGCTCAGTTAGTGATTGCTTTCATTCTCATATGCATTCAGTTAGGCATCATTGTTGCTCTCTTTATAATGGAGCCTCCTGACATCATGCATGACTACCCAAGCATTCGGGAAGTCTACCTGATTTGTAACACCACCAACCTAGGAGTAGTCACTCCTCTTGGATACAATGGATTGTTGATTTTAAGCTGCACCTTCTATGCGTTCAAGACCCGAAATGTTCCAGCTAACTTCAACGAGGCCAAGTACATTGCCTTTACAATGTACACCACCTGCATTATATGGCTGGCCTTTGTGCCAATCTACTTTGGCAGCAACTACAAAATCATCACCATGTGTTTTTCAGTCAGTCTAAGTGCCACAGTGGCTCTAGGCTGTATGTTTGTGCCAAAGGTATACATCATCCTGGCCAAACCAGAGAGAAATGTGCGCAGCGCCTTTACCACATCTACCGTGGTGCGCATGCATGTGGGGGATGGCAAGTCATCCTCAGCGGCCAGCAGATCCAGCAGCCTAGTCAACCTCTGGAAGAGGAGGGGATCCTCTGGGGAAACCCTAAGGTAAACATCGTGTGGGTATTGTGGAGCAACTGACTTCTAAAACTGAAGTACTGACATTCACTTCTGGGGCCTTTTAAATGGGAGAGAACTGAGTTAATGGGAGGAAGGGAGCTAGAGAAATATCTTAGGACCGCCTCATTGAATGTTTTTTTGGTTTGTTTGGGGGTGGGCCCAGTTACAGTGACCAAGGCTAGAAGCATGCAAGTTTAGGTCTTTCATACAGCCAACAGTTATAATAAAAGGGATAAGGTCAGGATAATGGAGAACAATGTTAAGTCACTGAGCCAAGGCAAGGACCTTAAGGTCCAGAGTTCACAAAGATGCAGTGTAGATTACATTCTGGTTCAGCCAAATTGAGTAGAAAAAAAGATCAGTGTTATCAGAGAAAATGATGCTGAGAACAGGATGCCTGCAGTCTCATCTCACTCCCAAGCTGAATATCATAGGTAGTAGTGTTACATAAATGTTATCTGAAAATGATCTGCAGCCATCAGCTAAAGATCCCTCACCCCAACATGTGAAGACTTCCTTATGTGTTAAATGACCCTAATGTCCTTCAAAGGAAATAGAATTATTTTATCAGTGGCTTGGTATAAATTCTGAGGTATTATAAAATTATATAGCTTACTGAACTGGCAATAATAATTTCCTCTATTTAAATGGCATTGGTGATGGTGGTGGTTATGTGATGTGGAGTTGGTTCCAACTCATAGCTACTCTGAATAGGGTTTCCAAGGCTGTAAATCTTTATGGGAGCAGAAAGTCTCATCTTTCTCCCATTTATTTAAGTAGCACCTGTCAAAAAGAGCTATTCAGGACATCAACCCTTCAAACTGTAGGGGAACTTAACATTTTTTTTTTTTTCTTAAAGTTAAATATGTAAATGTTGTTGTTGTTGTTAAGTGCCATTGAGTCAGTTCGAATTCATAGCAACCCTGTATAGGGTTTCCAAGGAGCGGCTAGTGAGCTTGAACTGCTGATAGAAATATCTTTTAAATAGAAGAGATATCTAAATAATAATGTTTGAAATATTCCACCTATTCCTTCTTTCAGCTTGCATGAAAAGCAGTACTGTTCTATCATTCCTAATTCTTCGACGTATATACGCATAGATTGTCCAAGGTAATCAACTAAATGATAAACTTTGGAAGAAACAACTCATCTTTGACTTCTTCATTAAATCCTGGCAATGCCAGGATCTGTACACAGAAGCACTTCTTCCATAAATCTAACCTACCAGCATTGTTTCCATTTGTCTTCTTGGCTCCTCTCTGAAACGTTCTTTCACTGAAACTTCTGCAAGACCAATCTTTCCTTTTAACTAAGAATACTGATTTTTTTTTTTTTCAAACATTTATTCTATCAGGCAAGCCTTTTCTTCAAATGAAATATCCCAGGGAAACCTGAATCACAAAGCAGATAGATTGATGGAGGGAGGGAATTGTCAGTCTGTGCGTAAGTACCTAAAACACTCATTAAGGCAGCTTCTTTAAAGAGACAGCATGGAATGCTACTGAAGAGCACTGGCTTTGTAGCCATCTTTCTCCTGACTTTGAATCCTGACACTTTAATTTCATATATCTGAGCCTTAGTAACTTAATCCCACTCTGTAAAATGTTGAAGAGTGCATAGATAATGGGTACAAAGATTAGACATATAGTATTTTATTGAAAGCAGTGCAAAGTGCTAGACAGCACTGAGATTGAGTCACTTAATATCTGTTCAATCTTGGGAAAATTACTTAGCCTTTCTATACCTGGGTTTCCTCCTCTAATAAGTGTGGATCATGAAATATATACCTCATAGAGTGCAGTGAGGCTTAAATGATTTAACACATGTAAAGTATCTACCATATAGGAAGCGCTTGTGTTTCTGTGTGTTAAGTGCTATCGAGTCAGTGTTGAGTCATAGCAACCCTGTGTAGGGTTTCTGAGAAGCAGCTGGTGGATTGGAACTGTTGACCTTGAAGCTCAAACTGACTTTGCAGTCTAGCACATTATTCTGCAACGCCATACCAGGACACTTACTATTATCTGCTGAACTAACAACATGAATCTTCTTCCATACCTGAAACTCTTTGTGCCAGGTATGCATGCAGCATGATCTTAATACAAGGCAGTGCAGAGCTACAGACACATTAATTCTATTCATGCGGTCTGGACTTTCAGGAACATCCTTACCTTAACATTTTCCAGCTTCTTGCCCAGCACCTAGTCCATCATGTGTTCTTGCTGTTGTTAAGTGCCATCGAATCAGTTCTGATTCATAGTGACCCTGTGTAAGGTTTCCAAGGAACATCTGGTGTGTTTGAACTGCTGACCTTATGGTTCAAAGTCCAGTATTGACCCTACAGTGTTACACCAGGTGTCCAAACTGTAAAGTATTCTAATGTAAAGAGGGTAAGCCACTTATGAGTGGAAGCCTTTTCTACCTTATTCTGCATTGGGCACCCAATCATGTAGAAGGTTGCTTGGCACACAGAAGTCACTCACCAGTCGCTTCTTGGTACATTTGTTGAATGGATGAATTTGTAAAGGTAGCAATGGGGTAGGCATTTTTTATTTATATTTTGGTGTTCATACTATTGATGGTTACTGTGAACCACAAGTTCAGCAGTTCAAGCCAACCAGGTACTCCTCAGAAATCCTACACAGGGTCACTATGAGTCGGCACAAACTCAACAGCACTTAACAACAACTAGCTCTCATAAGGTTAAGCTTACAGTGATCAACATTATAAAATGTCTTGCATTCAAACAGCCATTTGTTTCTGCTTAAGACTCGTGTTACTAATTCTGTCTATTTATCCTATGCTTTGCTGTAGTTCTAATGTTCCTGTATCACGATTTTCAACTATTTCATTTCTACTGTAGTAAATAAAGAGATAAGAAAAATAACAAAATTTACTGTCAGTATAGTAGAAAATAGGGATTCTGAGGATTGGATGGCAATACTTTAACTTGTTTTTCCCAGCATGACCATGCAGTTCTTGATGACTGGGTTTTGCAGTCAGTTAATTTGGGTAGTTGTTAAGTGCCATGAAGTCAGTACTGACTCATAGTGACCCTATGCACAACAGAACAAAACACTGCCTATTCCTGGGCCAACCTCACAACTGTTGACACGCTTGAGCCCACTGATGCTGCCACTTTGCCAATCCATCTCACTGGGGGTCTTCCTCTTTTTCTTGGACCCTCCACCTTACTAAACATGATATCCTTCTCCAGGGACTGGTCCCTCCTGACAATATGTCCAAAGTATGAGAGACAAAGTTTGGCCATCCTGGCCTCCAACGAGCACTCTGGCTGCACTTCTTCCAAGGACAGACCATTGGCAATTGTTGATTTTTCATTGCAGTCTTTCTTGGTAAATGCTGGTCTACATGTTTGTAGCTACAACAGGTAAACAAACTAGAGCCCTTTTGACCTCAATCCAGATATTCAAATGAGAACCTGCTTTTGATATGGAGAAAAAGAAATGGCTGAGAAAGCTCTAGTTTCCTTACACTAGGGAAATACATCACAAACTTGGTCTCCGCTTTAAACCATTGTCCTTATGGATTACTTCCCTAAATTTCACAGAGAGAAATTTGGTCCCTGCTAAAGGTCTTTTCCTATATGCCTTCAGTGAGTCCCAAAACCATTTCCTTTATGGGATCCAAAAATTAAGATGTTCAGAGCTTTAATATAGTGTTGTTGTTGTTGTTGTTGTTATGGTGTGTTGTAGAATCAGTTCCAACTCATAGTGATCCTGTATAAGGTTTCTGAGGCTGTTAATCTCTACAGAAGCAGATAACTTCATCTTTCTCCCATGGAGTGAAGTGGTTGGTGGATTTGATCCACCAGCCATGCAGTTAACAGCCCAATGCATAACCCACTACGCCTCCAGGGATTTTCAACATATATGTGTATTATTGTTGTTACTGTGTGCTGCTGATTCAGTCCCAACATAGACCAACCCTGTGTAGGGTTTCTAAGTGCTCCTGGTGGATTTGAATTGCTCACCTTGTGGTTAGTTGTCCAGTGTTTATCCTATAGCATCATGTATGAGCGGGACTTTAAAAAGTTTTGGAAAAAATTTGTTGTATTTTAATTCCATTTTTTATGTACTTTTTAAAAGTCCATTGGTGTTTATCACACTGTAGCGTATAGCTACTGTTGTTAAGTGTCGTCGAGTCAGTTCTGACTCATAGCAGCTGGTAGGTTTGAACCTAGGAGCAGCTGGTGGGTTTGAACAAGCAACATTGCAGTTAGTAGTCTAGTGCTTATCCTACAGTACCATATGAGGACTCCAGCTTAAGTCCTAGAAGTGACTGCTCTTTAGAGAATCACAAAATTAAAAGGGAGATAAATTTATACATAACTAGGTTGCTTATCTCCCCTTTTAGTTTGCAGTTTTCTAGAGCAGTGTATAACACATTATCCAGTCACTCTGGAACTAAGTAATGGGGGAGGGGTTAACTTGGGGGCTTCTATTCCTTTCACGTTTATTTTAATTTACTGTCAGGCTTTTAACTCTGGAATATGGCAATGAATCCTTCTATTGGGACCTATTCTTGTTGAGTGGGTTCCGATTCATAGCGACCCTGTGTAGGGTTCCAAGGCTGTAAATCTTTACTGGAACAGAAAGCTTCATCTGTCTTCTGTGGAGTGGTTGGTAGAGTTGAACTACTGATCTTGCAGTTAGCAGCACAATGCATAATCCATTTCACCACCAAAGTTCCCTTTGTAGTTGTTAAGTGCTTTTAAGTCAGTTTCGACTCATAGCGACCCTATAGAGAGTTTCTGAGCAACAACTGGTGACTTTGAACCGCCGACCTTGTGGTTCAAACCAACCTTGTGGTCCAGCGCTTTATCCTACATCACCACACCTAGGATTGTCTTAATTAGGTAACTTAAATTTTTAGATGTAGGTATTTGAGGAAAATTAGCTGCTATCCTGAATCCATCCTGGTTCTGCTCTCTAACTCTGGCAAATGGAGGACTGACTCAATGACACCAC